AATTTTGCAATGCAAAGTAAATACCTGTTCTAACAAACAGCAAATACACTAGTGTCACAAAACATCTTATCTAAATTCTGTGCTAGTGCATAAGTGGTCAAAGTTTTGCCCAAGGAGCCTAAAAACCGAAATCACTGTCAATGTAAAATTCATAATGGAACATGAAGAGTTTGTTGTTCAAAATCAGACTTGCATGTAATGCCCCTTTATAACGTCAAATTCCAAATACTTAGTTTCTAAAGACTCGTCTATCCAAAATCATGACCGAATATATAGTCCAAATTTTTCATGCATTTAATTTTCAATATATCACTTTACAACGTATCTCAGAATTTTGCCATGCCAAAAACTGAAGTGGTATTTCACAAGAAGGCATATTTTCCCCTGCAACAAGCTTTATCCATTGGCTGCAAGAGTCTCAAATTCCGTTTTCTTCAGTCACCAAAAGATCTCAAATTAAGTTGTCATAATCTCCAGCTACACTCAAGCTAATAAGAACCAACTAATTTAAATTAACAGCGCTAAATATAATGTAAATCAATTATAACCGTTGTTGCATACGTATTCCTTGTGAAGATCACATGTACAATTGAACGATTCAAATTGAGAGACTTTTTACTCAAATATATGTAAAGGTAGGGAGTATTTTATTTCGCTTGAACCTGGGCTTACTTTAATCAGTTTTACTCTTAAGAAAAAATGTTGGCAAAAAGTATATTTGAGATTGCTTTGGACTAGTTCATGGCTTTCTGTAATTTAAAAACTGTATTTAATTGCAATTACGTTGTAGTATGTTGCACAGGTTGATAAAGAAAGTTCTACTATTCTACAGATTGTTGCCATTTGCCTTGCTCCCGACATTTGACGTCCCTGAAACGTTTTCAATATAAATGCATTAAAAATCATACGCAGGTTGAAAAAGCGGTTAATTGAAAAAATGATTGAATAAAATTCATCCTTTATATTTGCTGCCCTGAATATTTAACCAAGTGACAAATATGACCATTTCAAGAAATCATTATACCTTTTTTTTAATTTGGATAATGTAAACAATATATTTTTCCAGTTTAATTCATCGGTAAATTTACAAAATATTAATAAATTCAGTTCAATCAAAATCTTCAATGTTTGTTCAATAAAAAGCTTGTACAGAATGATCAATAAATGAAATTTTATTCTATTTGATGAAGCATATTTATCAAAACTTTTTCAGAAATTTTTTTTTTTGCGCTAGTTGATAATTGATGTGCCCCAATTGATTTGGAGCATTTTATAACAAATATCTAATCAAAAACAGTTCATACAGTTAATTAAAGAAATATATTTTATATGCATATTAATCTTATCATCATTCATTTTATAGCTCTGAATAATAATTGCTTTTGCAGGATGTTAAAGCAATGAGTTTGCAGCAAAAATTGTTGTAATTAAAACATCTTAAATAGCAACAGTTTCTGCAAGTTATTAAGTCAAATCATTTTAAAGAAATTGTTAAACACTTTATTGCTTAAATATTCGAAACAAATGCAAACAACCAAATTTATAAAGAAATTCAAATGTGGGAAATTTCAAAACGCATTTCAATTCTGATTTATAACAACTGTTTTTGCAAGCAAAAAAGCAATTGATTATCAAACCAAGTCTTCTACCATTAAATCATCTAAGTCTTATTCTACATTTGAAAAAATGGAATCACCTGATGGTTACTTGTAAGAATGCTCAAAGATTGTATGGGGTGAGCTGTTTTCTTCCAGTGTAAAGTGAAATAACAATATTTTCTAGTTTTCTGATAAAAGGATATGCATTATCAAATGTACCTATTTTTATTTTATTTTATATAGTTTCATTTCATCCAAAGTATTAACTTGATATTCAGAGTATTCAAAAGTAACCCCAAAGAATTCAAAAAGTAAAGAACTAATTTTCCGAAATCTTTTTAAAATTTTGAGAATATTCTGGCTTGAAAGCGTGACAAACCTTAAATAGTTTTGCTGGCAGAAAAAAAAACCTGACCTGGTTAAAAACTCAGAAGAACTTGTTCTAGAAGAAGAATTTTTATGGAGAAAGAATTTTTAACATATATAATTTTGATCAAGAGTTACTAAAACTTATATACAATCATTTTTGTTAGTTGTTGATGCGCCTCTACCTGTCTAAACCTGCAATATACAAGGAGTATTACTATTTGCTTTTTTAGAAAACGGCTAGCGAAAAAGAGACTTGACTAAGAAATAAATCATTTTCAGATTGTTGCTGCTGGTGATTTCTGTACGTAACTGTAAATAGAGTAATACTTCGTCTGCCATATAAAATATTTGCAAAATTTTTTGTGGAGCTTTTTAAACTATGATCTGCATTTCATTCTTTGGAAATTTGGCAAACAGATGTATAAGACTGAATGCATCATAGAGCATCGATGCAAATATATTAACATAGAAATGAATTGATTATTTGCCAGTTGAACAAATGAACAGAACAGTATCCCTAAGATTCTTGATGTTTTGATGACATTAAAGAGAGAAATGTGCGCAAATTTTTCAAAATTAATGCAAAGAACGAAAGAAATGAGACTTATTTCATATATGTTCTGACGATTTTTATTCTGAAGAGTGTTAAACGAAAAGTTTTAGTATGTTTCATAATGTTTGCTTTTTTCAAAGCCACTTCATCATGCCATTAAAGACTCTTCAAAGAACATACATACGGAATGATCATTATATAACATGAAATCTACCAATCAGTGGCATAGCGTCCGGGTATTCAAGGTATTCAGTGAATACCCTGAGATTTCTGGGTAAAAATATCAATACGACGTATAATTATGATAACTAAAAAATGCTTTAGGGCTACTTTATTCTGGTTGATTTCGTTACCTTTGATGTTCTACATTTTCTACAAGTACAAAATATCACGAAATGCATGGGAACCATAACGCTGCGAAGCATAGAGAAGCTGAGAGATCTTTGAAGCTAATTTTGAAGATTGAGCTACTTTATGTTGAATGGAGATCGGTCAGGAATACGCAGTGAATACCCTAGAAGGTATTTTAACCAATCAAAATGCTCCTTTCCATGAATAATATTTGCTCTTAATCAGCTAAAACAATTGTCATGTACGCTGAGAAATATGCAGCGTACAGCCTCAAAGTTGGTTCAAAATAGTCTCGTTTTGAGATCGATATAAACAGTTAATGGACGTCGGAGCTGTTGGGGTGATGCAGTTTCATTGAAAACAGTAAATATGACTTAATTCAAAGCTCTTGCAATGTCCGTATTACTGTTTCGTAATCATTCTCTCATTTGACCCCTAATCTTCATTTACCCCGTATTGAAGCGGGCTACCGTTTCTGCGAATCTGGTCGCGCGATCGCGCGACTGTTGTTCTAGACGTGCGCAACTAACCCAGTAGCAGTGATTCCTCATTGCCCTGGCGATCGCGCAACTGCTTTTGGGAGTTGAATAGATTTTAACTTTTCTCTGACCAGATTCTCACGAACCAATAAGATGCTTTATTTTTCTTGTCTGGTTTACGTCGTAAAATGCCTTATCACCCTGTCTTGTTTTCTTTGGCGCTTATCCAAAAAATCAACACTACGCTCTTCTACGCTGAGAATCTCGTTTAAACGATGGTAAAAATAACAATTAGGCCAGAAGTCATGTCGATTTTACGCCAGTTTCAGCAAAGTTAATCCCTTACAATAAATCTTGGGTTTGAAAATGGAAGCACGGGCAATACGGAATCGCAGACGGAATGGTCTGAAGAATTATCTATTGAGGAACTTAAATCCTGGTTTCCATATAGCCTTAAGGCTGCCTGCGACTGCCTGCGACTGCTTTCTGCCATCTTCCATCTTCCACCCTTACAGTAGCGCCGGCAAATAGAAACGTTCTGTTTTCAATTGCGTGCAGGATCGGTAACTATGCCGGTAACTTGGTAAAGTTTGAGTGGGAAAATCTGGCGGGCAAAATTCAACAACAAAGCCCTGTTTTCTATTGGTTCTTGCACATCACATGATCCGTTTGAACAAAAGAATGCCGCAGGCAGCCGCAGGCAAGGCGTTTCCATTTGTAATTTGTTTGCCGGCGGTACCGGGAGGCTGCCGTAAGAGCCGGGAAAAGTTGAACTCGTTCAACCTTTTCCCGGCTCTCCCGGCAGTCTTACGGCACTTCAAACAGCTGCCTGCGGTACCGTTAGAAAGCGTTTCCATAAAGAATTATCTGCCGGCGATACCGTAGGGATGGAAGATGGAAGATGGCAGAAAGCAGTCGCAGGCAGCCTTACGGCTATATGGAAACCAGGCTTAAACAATATCGTTGTTTATGGGATACCTCATGCCGATCTTATAAAGATGGCCCTAAAAAGCAGCAATCTTGGCGGGAACTGAATCAGAAATTTAAAAAAGAGGGTAATTTTTGTTTGATTTTTTCCTTCAATTTTAATGACGTGTTTAGGCCTACTCTACACAATGTAAAATCGTACTTCCTTGTGCATTTCATCAGTTTTTACAGACTTTTGACTCTCTTTCTTTGTCACCGTTTGTATTTCGTTTTCAATGTGTGTTTCTGGCTCATTCACGTTTATTATTAACGATAATGTGACAAAAAATACTTTGCAGCATGGTATACCATATGTAAATATACCGTAAAAGCTCTAAGTCAGGGGAGCTCATATTCTTTTTAGTTCCAAAGTGGATGCTTAAAAGAGAGGGGGGCTTATTTGAAATTTTTGCATGATAAGAGGGTCTTAATAGAGCTTTAACTGTATGTATGATGTGGTATACAAATATTCATATAAATATAATTTTAAAAACATTGTTAAGTAATACATTTCAACTAGACTCTTAGGTATTTTTGTCACTAAAAGATCGAAAACGTCGATATTGAGTTTTCTGGATTTGCATTTTCGAATTCTGATTAATTTGGAATTCTGATTTTCCAGAGGACACCTTAAAGAAAGTTTGGAAAAATCTAAAGGATTGCTTCACAAAGTCCATCAAAAAAAGGTAACTGATGACACGTTCTGTGGTTGCATCCGGAAAACTACCGAAATGTAAAATATTTGATCAGATGACTTTCATTTTTTATTGCAAAAAATACATATATTCTGCGTGTCGAATTACTTTCCACCATCCCCCCTCCCTCTCCAAGAAACGAAAATCTAAATTTATAAAAGATTTAAAATACGTGTTTCAAATACGCCCGCACTCTTTATCATCAAGTTTTGATTATCAATTTAATTACATGTTCTGAATGTTCTGATGTAAAATTAGATATTTTCTAATAAAATAAACTTTTTTTCTGATAAAACAATTAATCGTCAAATGGATCTTGTGTGGATGAAATAGTTTCCCATTGTCATAGGACAGAACCCGCTGGTAAATCAAAATAATCTCTGAAATTGTCTCTTACTACCTTGGCAGCCCTTGTATGATTATTTGAGCCTGCCTTTTTAAGAGGGAGAAGCCGGCCCATCGAATATTGTCTCTTTCAAACACAGTCTCCCCAAAAACGGCCTTTGACCGTTTAAATTCCTCGGCTTGTATTCGGAATTTTAAGGTATATCTTCTCAAAATCAAGGAACACATTCTACAAAGCAAATACTTTTATGCGCAGTTTAATGGATCGATGAATCGCCTGCCCATATAAAAGCCAGAAAAAAATAGGGTCTATTCAGGATAAGCAAAAAATCTTCATCTCAAAGACATCATGAGAGTAATTAAATCAATTGCGGAAAATGACATGGCAAAGCATTTTGATTTTTGTGTTTTTTCCCCAACACAACAAACTTGTTTGTTTTCCAAACACACAGCGCTAGCAATATTTTTTAAATGTTTGATCCCTTCGTTTTATTCAATGAAGCAAATTAACAACTGTAATTTTCATTTACGATGCAGGTGCTTGAGTTCGAATTGAAGAGGAATTGGGTACTTTGATTAATTGCAAGTAAACATAGAGTCAGTTTTAATCTCGAGGTACAATTTTGCAAATTTATAGCTGACTTCACACAGCTCAAACTACGATTACTCTTAGTTGCTGCGCAGCAGAAGTATAGTATATATATCATACATGTAGAATATATGTCACACAACTCATTATAGATTTAGTCTTGCACATGCAAACCAATCAGAAACATGCCTTTAAAACATGCCATCTTTGTTGTTTTGGTACTATTTGGCGCAAGCAAGGTGATTTCGATGCTTGTAACACAAGGAACATATTTCAGGACAATTGAAACAAATGACGGTGACAATTCTGATATTGGAAATGACGAGCTAGTTTCGACTGAATTCTTTCATAACTATGGTCATTGCTGTTCTTCACGAAGGCTTATGATTTTTATTTTCTTCTGCATAGATAAACCCTTTTTGTTTTTAGTTACGATTTTTGAGTTAAGTTGTTGATAAGACGATAGTGGAACAGGGGAAAACGCCCCATTCCCTCAATTTATTGAAATTTTAAGGAAAATAATTATTTTTTACTGCATTGTGTTTCTATGATTAAAATACCATCATTACGTAACAAAAAATTACCCATGGACTTTCCTTTGGGAGAATAAGGGCGACTCCTGTTGGTAAAAGGATACTACCAATAGAAAGGCTGCGTTTAACAATATTAGTTCGTCCTGCAAATGCATTGGCATCTGGTGCAGCCACTAAAAGCTAAAAGTAACCCCTCTGTATCTCTAGGATGAACGATTTTGACATGCAAGGGGTTTTCACAAGTTTTTCAAAAATTACATTTTCTGTAACTCTGCCTCAGCTTGTTCTAAATTTTTCTTAATTTCTGATCAATTTTGAGGCTTGTGTTCTAACAAAATTGTTCTTATTAGAAAAGGGCTGTGCATATAGGAATGCTCGAATAAGATAGGAATCTATAGTAGCTTGACCGTCCGGGACAAGGGGATTCAAATCAAGGTGCTTTTTCACCTACCAATAAGCGACGGAACCGAACTAGAAACTTTGTGGACCAACTTAAGCTTTACAAACCAACGTATAAAAGATTGGCAGGGGGGGGGGGTGGTTATCACGCTTCCTCATCCCCGCTAGTAGCACCCTTGAGAATCAGATATACTACAATATTTGCTTGAGAATCCTGAATGACAAATCATGTTGCAAAATTTTATTTTTTGTTTAATCTTTTAATCTGAAATGCGAAGGATTTGATAAAGAAAATAGGGTGAATGAACGGATTCACAATGTACAATCGATAAATTATCATTATTCGTATAATTGATTTTTAATTTACATTATAAAATATCTCCGAGCTAAATTTATAACTGATTTGTAATTTATAATGAAATTTAGTTATTAAGATTAGAGAATCATCAAAATTTTGCTCCAGTTGCAAATTCTTCTCAATTTTCATTTTTGAAGGAAATATCACGTACAAAAAGCCATCTTCGCAATCATCAACATCTACAATAGAAAGCATCCCATTAGTTGCCAGGTTTGCAAATGATGGTAACAGAACTGGGGTATGGCAAGGATGCAGTATCAAAAAAGCTGACGTGACACCCTGGTGGCAAGTGGACCTTACAAGGCAAGCTGCGGTCGCAAGTGTCCAGATAAGAAGTGGCGCAACTTGGGGTCAATTGAAAATCAATCCATCCGATGTCAGTGTTGGGGATGATAGATCAAATGGTGGACGAAACAATGTACTGTGTGTGAAAGATGGAACATTGGAAATCGGTGAATTAAAAAAGTTCGATTGTCCACTGGTCCTGATGGGTCGCTACGTTAGTGTCTATTTGAACAGGAAAGAAATTCTTCAAGTATGCGAGGTTGAGGTTTATGAAGGTATGTGCTTGAACTTAAGGCTTTCTTTCGAACATACCATAGGTATCAGACCAGAGCCTCGTTATTTCTGAGATTTAATGATAGAGGCAATGGCACCCGGGGTATTTCGAATATAGAGTAAAAACTCTCGCAGTCACTGCACTGAAAGTCTTTGCGTCTACAAATTGTTGAAAAATTTTCGCTGCCAATCGATCATGCGATACATACATTGAGGACAAAAATTTTCAGCGGTTAAAATTTCGGACAATGAACTTAGTTGAAGAAATTTGATAACCTAATGTGGTTTTGCTTCACACATGCAAAAGACTGTTCAAAATTTTCCTGAAAATTTCTCTGTCCGAATTTTAAAAGTATGACAAATTTTTAACCATATCAAACAACGAAACCACATAAGGACAGATTTTCAAGAAAATTTTGAACAGTGTTTTGCATGTGTGAAGCGAAACCACATCAGGTTATAGATTCACATTTACACAAAAGTTTTAAGAAACTTGGAAGAATATCTGACTATTGGAAACATGACATGTCAAGAAACATTATGTACTGGAACGGCTCAAATTCTTAGTTTAGTGACTTATTAATTGACGATGAGAACAATAATGAACTGGTGGTCCTATTAACTTGGAAAAGGGCTGTTTTCAAAAATTTTGTTGCCAGTCATGTTTAACGATCGTAGACTTTGCTTTAGTCAATATATACTGCGCATGCGTGGGTCATACAAAATTTATCGGCGTGACAACCTTCCAGACAAATTTGCTACCCTGAAAGTTGTTTTACTCAATGTAGATTGCGATCCAGTCCTCCCAGGTGGCGCCTTCTATTTTGTATATTGATCTTAGCCTCTATTTGGTGCTTTCTGGTGACTGGGGGGTTGTACAATATAGAACAATTACATTCTTTGGCTTTAGTTATCTTGGACATGATATCTTCGATCATCAAAATGGCTAAAATGGCTTAGTACTACAAGAATCTAAGGTTCACTGTTCAAAAAAGTCTATTTTTTTTCAAAACTGTCAAAAGTTGAAAGAATGCATGGGCCCATTGTTGCTTTAGCTTTTTACCCTTGGTACCAGACCCACATAAATTTGATCGCAGGACTAGAAGATTGGAGTAGAGGAGCAAAGGGATAAATATTAGTGAGTTCTATCAATAACAATTATAATCGTTTATAAACCACGCCCATATCTATAGACATACAAATTTTGTCGACAAATCACCAGTTTTGCAGCCCCCCCCCCATCAAAATTCTCTAGCGACCGCATTGGCGAAGGTCCCCGCTTCTCCGCTTAGTTTTCTATTTACGCGCGTGAAATTGTGTGGCTCTGGTACTGGGGGTACTTGGCCTTCCTAAAACCAAGGAACAGGGCTCTTTCAAGCAAGCTTCGGCAACACCATACTTTGTTAATTTCAAAAGCAACAAATGAAGCTCCATTGGCTTTTTTCAAATCTTAGTAAATAACAACAGACTTTCGTCCATGCAAGCACCACCAATCTCTTTCAGCGTGCAGATCTCACCAATGTATAAAGATTTGCATTTGGCTTGAAAGGATAATCCAATATTTTTGTTAATTTTACGCACATATTTTGGGGTGGTATCATTAAATTTAAAAATCCCCTACTGATACCTTATTTCGACAAATTTCTTGACTCCTTTTGCAAATTTCATTCTCCAGCTATTGCTTTTATTGCATTCTTCTTAAAACTTCAAGCCTGGGAAAAAAATTTGCTAAATATCACAACATTTACAAAGAGCTGACAATGAGCCTAGGCATTCCTAGTCCGCAAATGATTCACTTATTTATCTCAGCTAGTTTCCTGGGATGTATGACAAATAATGGTTTCCTGGGATTTATGTCAAATACTGGGTTCCATGAAGTTAGTTTTGTTTAATTTTCTTTTAAAATTTGCAAGCGAAGAGTTTCTGCACATCATTATGTTTAATTGAAACTATATTTTTGAAACAACTGAAAATAATAATACTGTCAGAAGTATGCATTAATGTATGAACTTTGCATTTTAGATGTATTCTGAAAAAAGGCTTCAGAAATCGCGATTCGTTCTCTATTTCCTGGCAAGCACGAATGCATTTGAAGAGAAAAGCAATATATCTAGCTACTAGCAGCCATAGAGGATTTGCATGATGAATTCAAAATGCACAAACAATTCATGCTTTTACATGAAATGCACATGAAGCCGGAAAATGTATACAGTTGTAATTTATATTGTTTGATTTTCATAACTATTCAGTACTGTAATTATGAAGAGTGAGGTAGGAGGCACAAATCTTTTAGTTGTGACTTTTGCTAAAAGCATGAGATTTCCATAACAAAAAATCAACTTTATTCCCGAAATTTTTCCGGATGTAATAAGTATTGTATTTTCAGGGTTTTTTGTCTATTCAGTACAGTAATTATGAACAGTAGGGTCGAAGGCAGAAATTTCTTTAGCTGTGACTTTTGCTTATTCAAGAAATTTAAATTACAAAAAACTACTTTTTTCCGAAAAGATTCTTTATAAAAACTCTTTTAAGGACGGAAAGCTTGATGTTTTCTGACTAAGAAAGAAAAAAAATCTCTATTGTTTTGACTTTGTTGTATATAGCAAAGCAAAGACCACGATATAGTGTCAGAAAGTGATCTGAATTAAAGTGTTGTTATTTGACTTAAGCTATTATAGTGTTGTTGATCATATGTCGTAATATTTTCTGGGCTTTGTTTAGCAGTTCAGGGTTGATATTCTTCAGAAAATTCAATTCAAGCTTAAAGAATCCTCATTAAAAGTAAAGCTTACTAACTTAAAAGACAAGGCCAGAAGGATTTTATCAATATATTCCTACGCTGCAATAATTATCTACGATTCGTGGATCATTTAATAATATTAAAGAGTGAAGTACAAGAGTTTGTTTTCCAGTTTCCACAACCTTTCTATTTGCTATCCTTTACTAATGGAACACTTTTTTCAACTTCCGTGTTGCTTTATATAGTAGTGTGTTGCTCGATCTTGGCTCATACTACTCTTATAGCAGCAGCAAAATGCATCTAAAGAGACAGAAAAACTAATTGCAAAAGCACACAAATGGACCAAGGCAAAGTATGTTAAATCTAATTACGCAAAGCAAAGTAGAAACAAGTCCTTACAAAGAACACACGCAAAGTTTTGCCCAAGGAGTCTTCAAACCGAAATCACTGTCGAAGTTAAGCCAACATTCATAATGAAACATAAAAATTTTTCTGTTCAAAATCGGATTTTCATAAAATGCTCTTTATAACTTCAAATTCTAAATACTTGGTTTCTAAAGACTCGTTTATCCCAAATAAAGATTAGTCTAAATTTTTCAACAATTAAATTTTATGTATTTATTTTAATTTGCAAGGTATCTTAGTGGTTTTCCTTGCCAAAAACAAAATCGATCTTAGGCAGGAAGGCATATTTTCACCTGCAACAACCTAAAACCATCGGCTGCAAGGGTGTCAAATTCCGTAAACAATGTAAATCAAATATTACCTATGTTACATGCGTATTCCTTGCGAGGATCACAAGTACAATTGAATGATTAGAATTCTGAGACTTTTTTCTTCAATATTTGCAAAGCTGGTGATTATTTCATTTCGTTTGGAACTGAGTTAACAACAGCTTGTACAGAATGATCAAGAAATAGAAATTCATTTGCATTTTATTAAGCGTATTTATCAAACTTATTCAGAAAATATATTTTGCACAAGTTGTTAAAGCAGTCCATGTACAGCGAGAGATTTGGAGCATTCTATAACAAATATCTAATAAACAATTGATTATCAAGGCAAGTCTTCTACCATTACGTCATCTAAGTCTTATCTTCCACATTTTGAACAAATGAAATCACTTGATGGTCAGTGGTAAGAATGCTCAAAGATTGCATGGGGTGAGCTGTTTTCTTCCAGTATAAAGTGAAATAACAAAATTTTCCAGCTTTCTGATAAAAGAATATGCATTATCAATTGAATTTATTTTAACATCATTTTATATAGTTTTACTTTATAAAAAGTATTCACTTGGTATTCAGAGTATTCAAAAATATTTCAAAAGTAATCACAAAATAAAGAACTAATGTTTCAAAATTTTCTTAAAATTTTGAGAATATTCTGGCTTGAAAGCGTGACAAACCTTAAACAGTTGTGCAGGAAGAATAAAAAAACCTGACCAGGTTAAAAATTCAGAAGAACTTGTTCTAGATGAGGAATTTTTATGGACAAAGAATTTGTAACATATATAACTTTGATCAAAAGTTACTGAAATTTACATACAGTCATTATTGTTCGTTCTTGATGCGCCTCTACCTGTCTACACCTGCAATAGCTACTATTTGCATTTGTAAAAACCGGCTTGTAAAAAGAGACTTGACTAAGAAATAAATCGTTTTTAGATTATTGCTGCTGGTGATTTCTGTAACTGTAAATAGAAAAATACTTCGTCTGCCATACAAAATATTTGCAAACTTCTTTGTGGAGCTTTTTAAGCTATGATCTGCATTTCATTCTTTGGAAATTTGGCAAACAGATGTACAAGACTGAAGGCATCATGGAGCATCGATGCAAATCTATTAACATAGAAAGGAATTGATTGTTTGCCAGTTGAACAAAAGAACAGAACAGTATCCCAAAGATTCTCGATATTTTGATGACATAAAAGAGAGAAAAGTGCGCAAAAGTTATATAATTAATGCAAAGAAGGACAGAAATGAAACATATTTGATATGTGTTCTGACGATTTTTACTCTGAAGAGTGTTAAACGAAAAGCCTTAGTATGTTTCATAATGTTTCATAATTTACCAATAACGATACTTTACACGAACAACTCCGTTTGAAGTTCGTAAACCTCAAGCTCACATACTTGAAGATATTCTTGCCTGTTCAAGAACACAGTCACATACCGACCAAGCAACAGCCTTGGACAATTGAATATTTTTAATTCACCAATTGCCAACCTTCCATCTTTTACGCAAAGCGCATTGTTTCGTCCGCCACTTGATCGATCATCCCCGACACTGATATCGAATGGATTGATTTTTTCTTGACCCCAAGTTGCGCCACTTCTTATTTGGACACTTGTGACAGCAGCTTGCCTTGTAAGGTCTACTTGCCACCAGGGTACTATATCAGCTTTTGTGATACTGCATCGCTGCCAGGCCCCAGTTTTGTCACCGTCATTTCCAAAGCTGGCAATTAATGTAATTCCATCATATTTATGAGCAGATGAATGCGAGGACGGTTTTTTATAAGCGATATTTCCTTGAACGCCTGGAATTTAAGTCAAATCAAAAGATTTTATTATTAAAAACATCTTATAGAATACTCCATCTTCTTTTTTACTGTAAAATTGCAACATAAAAATGAAAGGATCATACAAGGAGGAGCAAAAGTCAATGACTACCCTATGGCCATTACATGGAAACACTCGCTGCTAACCCATGCATAAATAAGATTGATTAAGGTAAAACAGAAAGAAGTTATGCAAAATAAAATAATTTAGAATGTAATGTGGAGAGTAAGGGTGTTCACAACTCCAATCGTAGCTTAACAGAAAGTTTAGGAAAAGTCCGTTCAGTGAATGACATCAGTAAAAAGTACTAAAATCAGTAAAAAGTCAGGCATTTGTGATACCTTGGTTGGTTACATATTTATTTCTGAGTGAATACAAAAATCAAGAACTCCTTAGGTAAAATTGTGCCTTGTGTTGATCTTCACTAATTTCTTTTGGAAGAAGCATCAATTACAATTCATAATGGGTAGAGATCTTTTCCACACGCATAAAAGGATTTACTATCCAGTTATTGATTACTAACTACAGCTGTTGATTACATGGGTTTGGAAATAACAACTCATACCTCTTCTTGCTTGTTTCTTAGACCATATAACGAAGTTTGATCTCTCGGTCGGGATATCTTGCTCAACTCTAAATCGATGAAAAATGTGGTTCTTGATATCCTTAACAACGTAACGACAGGTTTTATCGAGGCTGCATTGATGGAAGGTCTTATGCAACGTGCTTGTCGTTATCTGAGTTGGGTTGTGCACTTCTTCGAAAGCAGATTTGCTTGTACTTTGACTCTCATCTGACTTTATTGAAGCATAGCAGAAAATATTGAGAAGCAACGTGGCGAGCATGAAAAGTCCCATTTGGACAATAGACGGATTGAAATCTTTCCTAGAAAATAAATTAAATTGCTATTTGCTTTAATTATGAAAAAATATAAGCAACATCTTTTTAAATCATATAAAAATGCTGTGAAACTGTAGTCTTATTCAAAGATCTTACATATTTTTATCAATAACTTCTTAATTCAAAGATCAGACTTTTGGAAAACTAAATGCAGTACACGTTACAGAGATTTTAATATCTTTTGATCGAAAGGGGAGATCTGTGTTGATACTTAGCGCATAGGCATTTCGGGGAAAATTTTTTAGGTCGTGACTTTCTTATCTAAGCAGATGAGACTTGAGCGTTTACCATTTTTTGGTACCTTGTCTCTTAGCTAAGAACTAAGCCCAAACTTGCAGGTGTTGGGAGAGCATTTGGCATTGTTTGGCATTGTTGTTGACCCTTGAGGATATCAAATTACCAAAAGTTCTGCAATAAGCCCTCATCTCCACCCTGCACATGTTCTGTCAGCAAAGTTTTTCGCTGTTACTCATGCGACGTTTTGTAGCAGAGCTCGAAATGATCGAAGCTGAAAATTGATTACTCTCAAAATCTGAACCTAATAGGCCTATTTGAAGTAAAGTTTGCGAAGATAAATGAAATGATTTTAAGTCAAAGGAAAGGGATGGGGAAGCACAGTCAAAAGGGTAAGATTTTGATTACCGATTAACCGGTAAAGTGATGTTTTGATTGCTCAAATTCGGAATAGTGGGAATGGGGAACATTAGACTAAAAAATAAACGAAAACTTACTTTCAAATTGTTGGATTTTTTCTACAACTGTCTCTGTTTCCAACCCAGCAATACTTCACTCCTCTTTATGTTGAATTATTTGCGCAAAGAAAAGATGCGAATCTAAAAATAAAGAGCCATTCAGGCCGCACATCATTTGATTAGGGATTTTGCGGTTTGTTAAGCTAGACAATTGAATTATTCCTCCTGCATAATTAATGCATCTTCTTCGTATTCTTCTAATTTGTCCATTACTAATGAATGCAATCCCATATTACCTAAACAACTGCAAGATATATCTAACAAAGATTTTCTTTTAAACTCAAATTCACAGCGATAGGCACGGAACACCTTTATGGAAAAGTTTCAAAGCTGGCAGAGGTTGCTAAATTCTACCTAACTGTATACAATACGGCCTTACGATATGCGAAGAGACCTTTTGAAAGAGTGCAGGGCTGAAAAAAGGGAAATGGAAGGATGGAGAAGGATACGTGCTTCCTACCAACATCCGGCCAGAAATAATTGTACACATTTTCGATGATCACTAATTACGCTTCCAAAAGGGTCTTTTTCTAAAATTTGTCTGGAAAACATATGACAATTATCCTAAAAGCTTTTCAAATAAACATAAAATGGTGGGCTTATCTTAATTTTTCTGCTCTAGTAATTGAGTAAATGCTATTTGTTTGCTGACTTGAACAATTTTTTTTAGAGTACATGAAATCCTGAAATTTTTTTGTTAGATTTGAAATTAAAAGAAACATAGAGAAGAAAGTGCAAAATTTTGTATGCAAGGAGATAAATTTTTTGGTTGATATATAATTTAAAACTCCCAGGGGGTATTGGTTTGGTACAAAAAGTGAATTCTTTTTTTCCTCATTGGCTATCCTCATTGGCTTGAACCTTAATCTTATCACTATAATTTTCTTTTAATTAGAATTAAAAATTTGACATTACAGAAACTTTCTTTTATATAAATTGAATAGAAAAATATCTGAAGGTTAACAAAGGAATACAATTTTAATAAATGATTTAATAAAATTCATTCTAAATATCTGATAGTATGATCATTTGACAGGCCGATAAAGCCTTATGCTTTTGAAAAAAACTTTTGCTATTTTTTCTACTTTGATTATATAAGCAATAGAAAATTTAATATTAATCAATGCATTTCAATACAAAAATATTCATCATCAACTGTTTACATAAGATAATGAAGAAATGGACTTTTTTTGAATTTAAAAGCACTTATTTATCTAAACTTTAGAAATTAAAATTTGCGCAATTCAATAAATCAATCGATTTGCAGCAAATTAATGGATGAAATTAGAATCTTAAATAACAACAGATCCTTCAAGTTCATAAAGCAAGACTATTATTATAGTGTAAGTTTGTGTTATTATATTCTTATTATTCTAAGCAACAAGAACTTCCGCAGGTTGATTAAGTAATTAACTTTCGGCAAAAAAATTAAGGAATTGCATCTGAAAAATCTTTAATAACAACAGTGTCTGCGTGATTGTATGAAGATCATAAACAAATGCAAGTTTTCAAATTTAATGATAAATTGCAATGTCGTGAAACTTAAAAGCAGATTCAAATTACAATCGAGGGCAATTTTGGAATCATTTGATGGTCAGTGCAATGTGTGTTTAAAGTTGGTAAGAGGTGAACTGTTTACTTCCAGTATATTGTGAAAAGAGAATATTTTCTGGTTTCCCAATCAAATGTATGTCTTTATTTTCGAATATAATGTTATATTATTTTTTCATCTGTTCATCCACGAAAGTCAATTTATTTTACGTGTTTGTCCTTCAGTGGCGGGGTGGGCAAGTCGGTTTTTGCGCCCTATCTATATATCATAGTTATATAAAAGCACGTGTTTCTAGAAGAAAAAACCCCGTTGGGAAAACATAAAATAATAATCAAAAGAAATTCTATTCAATTACAATGATGTGTACATACCGGCTGGTGGGCCCTTGAACTCGTTTATTATATCCAGAATACCAGCTTCAAAGTAAAATAAATTAGAGCAAATTTCTGTTTGGGGCTCCTCAGATTTTTAACTTAAGGTAGCCATAGTTTATTTACTATTTATGGCACTTCTTAGAGGCCATTTTATCAAAATTGAATCTGGAGATTTAAGAATAGAGTTTAGTGACATAGGAGGACCCACCGGTTGGGTCCGACATGGAAGAAAATTATTGAAATCAAGCCTTTTAGAATGGCTAAAAATGCCCATCCCAGACTAAAATTTAACAAATTAATATACCGCTCAGAAAAGACAATTTGACGATTCTCAGAAAAACATTGATTATTGATTTTTAGAAAAAATTTGGGAGGGGAGGACTCATGCTTTGTAGAAAGAAAGAAAGAGTGACCTTTGCTTCAGAGTGCACATCGATGTAAATTGCAAGAAGCTGTTGTATTGATGACAATGTTGTCAGCAAATCTAATTTCGATAACAAAAAAATTTCGGTTTTCCAAAAACTTTGTGTGATAAATTTTTGGTTGCCCCAACTTTCTCGTTCCCTTCTCCTCCTCGATGTCCAGAGCAGGCTTCGGATCTTTAACTAGGATATCTACACATTGTCTGTTGACCACAACAAGGGTTTATAATATGACACATTGGGTCATGGCACTGCAAGGTGCTTCGATTGTAGAATCGCATGTTTTAAAAGATTGTTCACAGCAGGTTACTGCGAAGTGTTCTACCCGTGTACGATCAATTTTGATTTTCCTATCCAAATATTACAAGCAAGCAATTTTGGCGCCCTCTTATCTCCAATTGCGCCCATACTCAGGGGGGCCCCTGGCCCCCCTGCTACCACACCACTGCTTTTCTTGATTCCCGGCGTTGCTCCATTCATTTCTTTTAGACATTGTACTTTTTCTTGCCTCTTTGTTTACTTTCCGATTAACGATTGATATCATATTGTTTTAATTTTTTGAATGTCTATGCTTATGCATATATTTTCGAGCTTTTGACACTATATTTTTTGTGTGAAGATGAAGCATAGTAATGTTTCGAGTTGCTAATCAAATCAATTATAACTTAGTCTGGGATTGATTGATTTAAGTTAAGAACTTGACTTCCAATATTTCTATGTAAACGTCATTACCATGAATTTGTCTATCTTTCGATTAGCAATCTTAATTTTTTTTTTAATGTTTTAATTTATTATAAGTGTTGTCTTGAAGTAGATTTAAAGCCCTTTAAGCCTTTAGGGAATATGATGGCTTAAATGTGTCACAGTTTGATTAAAGTCTTGCTTGTACAAACAAGGAACCTCAATTGATTAAGGTTACCAATAGGTTTCCTTTCAGTTCATCAGAAGTAGTTCAGCATTCTATGGTCAGAATTTTCTCATGACTAAGAATTTCTAGTCAAGTTGATTTTGATAAAACATTACAGGGAGCTTACTTTTAACTCCTAAAATTTTAATATTGGATTTTGATCTGCTTATAAACAACCATTATGGCTAGCTTTTGATGCGCCTCTTCATATGTACACTTGGTGAGCAAAAGTATTGCACAGGCTGAGACAGAAATGGCCGCACCGCAGCAAAATTTTTTTAGGAAACCAAAATTAAAGTGGCCATAGTAAGTTTCATAAAAGTTATAAGATGACTTTTTAACTGGAATATGTTGGATAATTTATCAAGGTTTGCTGGTGAAAATAGTTAATGCATGAATATTCTTGATTTTTGCCTATTTCTAAACAATATCGACATGTCGCAAAAACAGAAAAATTGAGCCATGATGATTGAAGTACCTGAAATTTTTTCAATCTTTAAATCAAAAGTGTTGCCAACAGTTTGAAAATCGATTTGATTTGTTTTTAACTATAAAAAGACGCCTAATGGCTTCACAAAAGTGGTTTGAATTTTGATCGCCTTGTTGTTGACAATGCGGTCGCCATTACTGAATTGTCAAACCTGTGCAATACTTTTGCTCACTAAGTGTATATCTTTAATGGATAGGAAGAATTTCAATTTGCTTTTATAGAAAACGGCTAGTAGAAAATAAGCCTTAACCCAGTAGTAACTCATTTTCAGATTGTTCTACATCGATGCATCGGAGAAATACTTCGTCTGCGATGCAAGATCTTTGCCAAATTTGCTGCTGTGCTTGATGATCACTCACTAAGTTCTACATTTTGTTTCTTGGACAACTTGGAGGTTGTCCAAGACAGTGGACAACTTAGCACAACAACCAGTTGTTTAAGGTTGAATGCATCATGGAGCATCGATGCAAGTCGATAAATTTAAACAAAGAGTTGGGTATTTGCCAGTTGAATAACAAATCAGCACAGGATCCCAAAGATTTCATTGAAGCACAAAAAAGGGAGGGTTGGACATATTATTCAACCCGTTTTGAAGAGAAAAATGTGAGTTTTCTATTGAAAAACCTATTTAAAACTCAACGTCCTTAATAAAAGAATTTGAAAACTAATTTGGTGACAGGAGATAGCGAAAAGGGCACATATAAAAATTAGTTGAATAGAGAGAAGAAAGAAGAACAAAAAGTCATTGATCAAAAGGAGCATCAAACACAGCTTTCAATCTTTATCTTTTTAGCTCTGCCACAAACATGGCCTTAAAGAAAAAGAGCTTTCATTCTCGTAAATTTCAAGACTAATATAGCACTAGTGATATGTTGTGATAGGGCTAACAATTGATCGTTCAAGAAATAAAACTTTTACATTGCAGGTTGGCCAGTATTGCCAAGCAAATGATCATTGCAGCGCCGGACATAAATGCATTGACACTTGCTACTGCCCAGGGTATAAATGCATTGGTAAATACAATAGTAACTACATTGCTTTTGGGGTACAAAGCCCTTGTTTAGTATTATGCATAAGATAAGATTTCATTACAATTTCTTCCTGTATATTATCTTCTAGCCACAGCAAAGAATATCGCCCATAAGAAGCCATCTTCCCATTCATCAACCCATACATATGACGAAATAGAACTTGTTGCAAGCTTTGGAAATGATGGTGACAGGACGGCAGACTGGCAGAAATGTAGTTTCACCAGTTATGAAGAGCAGCCCTGGTGGCAAGTGGATCTTAAAAAGGTAGCCGCTGTTACACATGTTCGGATAACAAATTCTATAGCCTGGTCTTCACATGATATAAACCCATTCAATGTTAGTGTTGGGAAGGATAGTTCAAACGGCGGAAGAAACAATGCCCTTTGTACAAATGGTGGAAAGTTGGCTAGCGGCTAGATGAAAACTTTTTATTGTCCAAAGCTGATGATGCGAGCTTGAGATTTATGAAGGTATGTGTTTGTTTCAAATATTCTAGCTTTCTTTTTTGGCCCCTGGTTAAGTATATGGACCAGTCAATATCACTTATTGTTTTGCAAATATACGGAGCGCTGCCGCCAAATCCCAACAAATTGCAAAAATTTCGAAATAAGGTTACAAAGCGACGAAATATTCCATTGATCGATTTGTTTTTTCTGTAGGATTTTGCATACAGGCTCACAATAATCTTATGCACATTGCTGATGAACCTTTTCGTCTTTAAAAAAATGTTATTAAAACCAAGATTTCAACAAAAAGTAACAATAATTGACCACTCCAAATTTTTAATGACAGCTCAAAAAACTATAATTTTGAATATGGCTTAAAAATAATTTTATCGTGATATAATAACAGAATGCAGATCTTTTTTTGATTCATTAAATGTTATACCTTATGTTGTCTCATACTACGTTGACATGTCACTAAAAAAGTTGGTCTTTTGCACGTGGCAAACAATTTACAAAATGCTTCTACCAACAACATGCATGCGATGTGTTTTTTTTATCAACATGAATTCAATAAATTTTAAAAATAAGATTCAATGATCTTAATCTGACCATAATTTTGATAACAGCAGAGAATTTGGCATATAAAAGGCCGTCCTCGCATTCATCATCAAGCACAGCAAATCGAATCACATTTGTTGCCAGCTGTTGCCAGCGATGCAGTACCACATTGGATGACATAGTACCCTGGTGGCAAGTGGACCTTACAAGGCAAGCTGCAGTCACAAGAGTCCAAATAAGAAATGGCGCCACTTGGGGTCAAGACAGAATCAATCCATTCGATGTCAGTGTTGGGGATGATAGTTCAAATGGCTGACGAAACAATGCACTGTGTGTGAAAGACGGGACACTGGCCAGTGGAGAATTGAGAAAGTTCGATTGTCCACAGGTCCTGATGGGTCGTTACGTCAGTATCTTTTTGAACAGGCAATAATATTTTCAAGTATGCGAGGTTGAGGTTTATGAAGGTACATGATGCTATCTAAGACTCAATCTTCATGGTCTTTATGAACAGCTTTCGAAAATGGCTTAATTCATTCTTTAAATATTAGCTAAGAAACGAATGTGCCCGCGAAAACGCATTTACATCTCGGTCGTAGAGCAGCTATAGCAGACAGAGCATATTTGTTTCTTGTTTTAACTATCTCCGGCTTGCTTTCCTCTAAGACTGAAAAGTTTTGTCTGCGTGAGGAACGCGATAATTTTTAACTTTTATTCCGCCCGTGCATTTTTACGAATCTGCCGTAGATTCCGCGCACAAATTTTGTTTATCTGGTCATGTTCCCCGCGCATATTCTACCATTTAAACTTCTGACTTCTGTTAACAAGAAAAAACAAAGCATACAAGGTTTATTCGAAAACATACAAGGCTACTTTGCTTCAAATTCTCGCACGATTTAGTGGGGAACGTTCGTTATCCGCAAATTTCAAAATTATTGTTCTGGCATTCCCCGCGCAAAAATATACTTTACAGTCTGGCGTTCTCGATCAAAAATTTGCTTGGATTCAAAACGATGAAAATTCTACAGTACAAAATATCTTTTTTTCTTTTCATTATTATCGGCACACATTGCACCGGCCAGAACTTGTAGCAGGTCCTTTTCATCATTAAAAACAGGGTGAAAGAAAACTTTCATAGGTAGTCCGCTTCTCTATGTGAAAAAAGCAAGCAGTTTGAAACGTGGATTAAAAGTCTTATGTAATTTGGCTCTAGCTGTGGAAATGGTTTTCTTACGCATACTTAACAATGAAGTACTTTCCTTGAAAACATGTCCGCATAAATTGGTATTGGAAGGAATGGAAAAATCAACCCCTAAATGGTCATTAAAATATTGTGGCATTTGCATTATTGATTTTCTGTAATTTGGCTGTATGAATAAAGAGAGTTTATCAAAGAATTAGGATTTGCAATTGGCCTATATTTCTAAAAACCGTAACAGTTTAAACCGTTTGCCTTATGTTAATCTTGTTTTAATTTAGAAACTTCAAGTTTCTGAACATTACATCACTATAAGAAATTATAATTTTGAACCAGCTGAAACGATGTTGAGATTTCATGTCCTTTGATAGTAGAAATGCAACTTTTACAAATTGAAACATTAAACAAAGCATGAATTTTAGATGTATTCTGAAAAGAGTCTTCAGAAACCATGATTGAATTTCCACTTGATTGCAAGCACGAATGCAGGTGAAGAAAAAAGCAATATTGCCACCGCAAGCAACAATGGAGGACTTTAAAAATGCACAAAGATTTCATGTTGTTTTTTCCATCTTTTGTTTTTCTATATACGTATCCTAATATTTATTTATGCAAATGTATTATAGGTTTATTTATGTACCAAAAGCCGTCATTATGAAACGAGGGACAAAGGTTTAATATAGTTCTGACAATCTCTTCTTCAGCAGGAGTTCATTTCCGAAAATTTACCTGGTAGACCAGGCTGAGCAGTAGCGGTTTTGGGAGTGCCCCCCCCCCCCCCCAATCAGCGATATCGTCGAAAATTCAGGCTTTCATCGGATAATTGACAACAGTTTAACGTGTTTAATTACTTGAAGAAATTTTTCTGAAAAGGAATTTAAATAAAACAAGCATGTTGAAAATTGTGTCTAAAGAGGTAAAACAGATCTATATAGATTTTTAATGGTAACTTTCTTTTTTTTCCAACATTGATTTCATTAAATAAAAAGACTTGTTGAGCAAAATTTTAAACTTTTGCTACACAACAAAGAACGCGTTTCCAGGAACGACAGCAGAAATTATCCCCGGGTTAGAAGGAAATAAAGCTGTAGGAAGATGAAGTACAAGATACCAGCGCTCTGGTTAACCAACCATCGACAAAAGAACCTGGCGTTGAACAGTTTTATCCGAGAGGCCTTTCCGTGATATTTAGGTATATGCTTGGTAAAATAAAGTATTACAGGTAAATCATAAGATGCAACAGTTGACTAAGATTGTGACATGGACGGCTAAGAAAACACTAATAATGTTGCTGCTGAGAAATAATGATACAGAGATAAATGTTGCTATTGCAAAAATCGATATTATGGCGAAAGAACTTAAGAAACACGAGAAATGCACTCAACAACAAACTAGAGCCATATTGAAAGCAAGGCCAAGTAAAGAAATGCAGTTCATTCGAAATATCTGTATCGTATCAATCATACTAGCAGAATTCACAGCTATTTGCATTGTCTGTGATACGTATGAAGATGTCAAATATGATTGTGATGATTCTTTAATTTAAGTTTGCATAGCCAAGAACTAATTATCCCCAACTATTCATAAATTGAAGTTGCTTTAATACCTAATGATAAAGTCTAAGTATGCAAGATTATTGTATGTCATAATCACTTGATAACGGACTATGTTCGAAAAGTCATTGATTAATAATCTATTATTTATTCCTAGTACAATTTTACTTAAATTTCTAAATTTTTTCCTATAATACTGTACAGCACGCAAGCTAGTAATCTATAATATGTCACTACGGAAAAAAAAACTATCCTACATGTTGAAAAAAAAAATTTTTTACTCTACAGTCACATTCAACTGCATGCTTTCCTTTAAAAAACTTTTAAATACTATCAGTATTTTAGCGTCTTTTAGGTCCTTTGGTAACCTTGCTTTCAAGCACTCATACCTTAGAGTATCTAATTTATATATAATATATATTAATAGTGATTACTTGAAGGTTTTCATTTACCTTATATCAGCAACACGAGTGGAGAGAGACAGAAGTGAGCGTGTGAGTGAGTTAGTGAGTGAGTGAATGAATGAATGAATGAGTGAGTGAGTGAGTGAGTGAGCGAGTGAGTGAGTGAGTGAGTGAGTGAATGAATGAATGAATGAATGAGTGAGTGAGTGAGTGAGTGAGTGAGTGAGTGAGCGAGTGAGTGAGTGAGTGAATGAATGAGTGAGTGAGCGAGTTAGTGAGTGAGTTAGTGAGTGAGTGAGTGAGTGAGTGAGTGAGTGAGTGGGTGAGTGAGTGAGTGAGTGGGTGAGTGAGTGAGTCAGTGATTTAGTGAGTGTGTGAGTGAGTGGGTGAGTGAGTGAGTGAGTGAGTTAGTGAGTGAGTGAGTGAGAGAGTGAATAAGTGAGTGAGTTAGTGAGTGAGTGAGTGAGTGGGTGAGTGTGTGAGTGAGTGAGTGAGTGAGTGAGTGAGTGAGTGAGTGAGTGAGTGAGTGAGTGAGTGAGTGAGTGAGTTAGTGAGTGAGTGAGTGAGTGAGTGAGTAAGTGAGTGAGTAAGTGAACGCTATATTTATATGAAATGCTTTTAATTTTAACAAAAGTGCAGTGGGGTCTTTGAGGGGGATTCAGGGGATGCATAGGAGTCTCAGCCTCCTATCAGAATCCAGTGAGATTTCGGGGCTCAGTCCCCCTTACCAAGTAAGTCCATATTTAGATGGATGGATTCTGTGTTGGTAACCTTTTGCTAAACTTTGGATATTTATCTAATGACCAATTTCTTATCAGTCTATTCATTATCATTTTTATCGTCAAAAAGTTGGAATGATTTCTACTCACAATAGAGATCCATTAACACAAATGAAAGTATATTGGGTGTAGTAAGGGTGTTGCCATGGATGTGGCCTTTGAGCTTTCCGACAGCACAGCCTTCTTTCCAAACGGCATTCCCACCAAAAAACTGATGATGAAGTTAATATTGTTATATTACACTTTAACTACAGTGCAACTAAGTATACAAAAAATAACTCACGGCCCTTTTCAACTCGACTTGTGGCAGAAAGGAGCAGAGAGACAACGACTTCTTTCGTCAGCACTTTGAACGAACAGCAAGATGCTTCTCCCAAAAAGCCTAATTCTTAAAACTACTACAGCGTATTTATAGATACAAGCATTTTACAACTATTAATAACAACCAATCAGCTAAAAACACGTAAGACCTACAACCAAAAGAAACATAGATAATTAACAGCGGAAATAAAGTGTTTGCCAAATATTTAAATTATACCCTACAATGGTTCGTTCGATCTGGTGCACAACACAACCTCCCCCTTTGAAATCGAGCCTCCCGGCTCGAAAACGCGTCAAACTGGTAAAATCTCCTGTGGTGTACAGTAATCCTCGGGACGAGTGATAGAGGGCTCATCTACAGACGAGTCACTTTTTGCTATCGGGTTAGGTTCTGGTAGAAAACTGTCTGGCGGTAAATCCACATCACTGAGATCAACGAACGTGTCACATTGCGGAGGAGCAGCGGTTGGACGGTCCGACGGATCGACGTACAGCTTCATGCGGTTTGCGTGCACTGGAACACTAACTGGACGGTTGTCGAGTGTCCTTAAACGAAAATGAACAGGCGATAACTTCTTGACAACGCGATATGGTCCGTGGTAGTTATGGGCTAACTTTTTGGAAAGACCCTTTCTCGTTTTTGGGGTGTACACCCAGACTTTGGATCCGATATCAAAGGAGACTGGCGCACTGTTCTGATCGTAGTAGTGTTTCATGCGCTGTTGAGCCAACTCTGTATTTGTCTTAACTATGCGACGGGCGTTTTCCAGATTTTCGACAATGCGAGCACGGTGTTCTGCAACGGAGGACGAGAGTTTTGCTGTCGAAGGCAAAATAAGAGACGCATCAATTGGCAGACGAGGCTCTCGCCCATATAAAAGATAAAACGGCGATTCGTGGGTCGTAGCGTGAGGCGAGACACGGTAAGCGAAAAGCACCAATGGCAGGTGGGGTCCCAATCCCTCTGATTTGAGCTGACATACATCGACAACGCTTCCGCAAGGGTACCATTAAACCTTTCGACTAGTCCGTCCGTTTGCGGATGATACGAGGTAGTCCGAAGTTGGCGAGTGTTGAGCAATTTGCAGACCTCTGTAACGATAGATGCAAGAAAATTCGAACCCCGATCTGATAAAAGCGTTTTCGGAGCACCATGGCGAGCGAGAATCTTGTCCACAAGCAAGTTAGCAATCATAGACGCTTCAGTAGAAGGCAAAGCAAAAGCTTCAGGCCACCGTGTGTAATAATCAGAAAAAACCACAATATAACGGTTGCCGTCGTTTGTAACGGGAAACGGGCCTAAGACGTCCATGGCTACTCGATCAAAGGCTCCTTCGACAGGAATAGGCAGCAAGGGTGCCTTCTTCTTACCCCTAGGCACCTTCTTCATCGAACAATCAATACATGAAGTACACCAATGTTCAACGTCTTTATACATGCCGTGCCAATAATAACGAGAACGAATTTTCTCATACGTTTTAAAAACGCTTAAATGACCAGCAGTAGGTTCATCGTGACAAGCAATAAGAATCTCTCGGCGAAGGCTTGCAGGAATTACCACCTGAGAACATAAAGACTGAACATGTCGTTTACTAGGTGTCCATAAATGACATAAAACCCCATTTTCGTCCAGATAGTACGAGTCGACAGTCAGTAGCAGAGTACGCGCTTTATTGTTATCATCTGGCAAGAGAGAACACTCGAGGTACTCAATAATGGCGAAAAGGTCACGATCTTCGCGTTGTAATTTGGTGAGCTGTGGAGGAGCAGGACATGGGTGCCTAATAGAAGCCATAGGCGGAGAAAGACCAGAAACAGTGGTTGAGGAATAAGATCGTCGTGAAAGCGCATCTGCGTTGTTGTTGGAAGGTCCAGGGCGATAAACAATGTCAAAATCGTACTGCTGCAGCTGCAACGCCCAGCGAGCAAGCCGACCTGTAGGATCCTTCACATTCATGAGCCATGAAAGGCTACTGTGGTCTGTATGGACAAAAAATTTACGGCCATGAAGATAAGGTTGATACCGTTTAATTCCATCCACTACAGCAAGAGCTTCACGTTCCGTGGTGCTATAGCGTTTTTCAGCATTATTCAGCTCACGCCCACCATAGGCCACGACATACTCCACACCCGCAACTCGTTGGCCGAGAATATACCCAAGAGCCGAGTTGCTGGCATCAGTATACAGGTGAAAAGGCTCACTAAAAACGGGATAAGCTAAAACAGGATTGGAGCACAAACTCTGCTTTAGTATGTTGAAAGCGTGTTGACATTCAGCACTCCACACAAACTTGACGTCCTTTCTTGTTAGCTGATTTATAGGTGAAGCTATGCGTGCAAAATCATGGACAAAACGTCTGTAATAGTTACAGAGACCAAGAAAACTGCGTACATCCTTCACATTGGACGGCACTGGAAACGAGTTTACAACTTCAAGCTTGTCTGGGTCAGCAGAAATACCATTTGCAGAGACAATAAACCCAAGAAATTTCACAGAATGGCGAGCAAAGTGGCACTTACTTGGTTTCAATTTCAAGTTAGCCTGACGTATGCGATCGAAAACGAGAGACAGCCTTTGCAAATGTTCTTCAAAAGTAGAAGAAAAAACGATAATATCGTCTATATAGATGAGACAAACCTTCCATTCTAGGCCAGCAAGAACTCTCGACATCAGTCGTTGGAAAGTCGGTGGAGCGTTTGTTAAACCAAAACTCATTACATTATATTCGAACAATCCTGCATGTGAAACGAAGGCAGTTTTTTCTCGTGAAGACGGATGCATGGCAACTTGGTGATAGCCCGACTGCAGATCGAGCGTTGTAAAGAACTGAGATCCAGAAAGAGCGTCAAGGGCATCATCAATGCGAGGAAGAGGATAACTGTCTTTGCGAGTGACAGCATTTAATTTTCGATAGTCGACACAAAATCTCGTCGTACCGTCTTTCTTCTTTACTAAAACTACAGGAGAGCTCCAAGGGCTCGAAGAAGGTTGAATCACATTTTGAGATAGCATATTTGAAATCTGTGTTTCAATTTCTTCACGTTGCAATTGAGAGACTCGATAAGGTGAAGACTTAATAGGCCGAGCATCCCCTGTGTAAATTTCGTGTTCGATGATGGAAGTATGGCCGAGATCAAGGCTAGATGAGGCGAAAATATCTTTATACGATAAAAGTAATTGTGAGAGAGCTGCATTCTGGGCCTCTGAAAGATCGACATTCTTAATAGACTCAAGTTCGGAAAGGAGGCTGTGATGTTGTGGAGCAGAATCCATAGCTGAGACACTACTTTTTAAAGGAACGATGTCAGTGTGCAAAAGTTCAGAAAACGTGCCGATGACTGTTCCTTTATGAAGAAGCACTGGTTCATCAGAAGGATTTAACAAACGAAACGAGACATTTCCTTCACTAGATGGGCACGAAATAGAAGCTGCTGGGAGGAGGCGATAACGAGAGGTTAATTTCTCATTACCTTCGACGAGGCCTGCGACAGAACTACTGTGCGACTGCAAAAGCTGCACAGGAATAATAGCTTCAGAACGAGGTTCAATGACGAATGAAGAAAAAACTGCGACAGAGCAAAGCAATGGAGGTGTATTGCCAGTTATAAATGAGACAGTGTTATCATTCGTAAATGTTAC